TTTTCCTGTTCTTCACACCAATTCAGTGCTTGCTCCATCTCCGGGAACACTGAAAACATGAATGACTCTGTCTTAATTCTCCATCTGAGGTAGCTTTCACTCTCTTTACCACTGAACTTATCCGGCTTTCCGATTCCTCTGTTGTCCACTAGGTTGATTTTCTTTTCGTCTTTCTTCATTGCGTTTGCGACTTCTGTCTGTGCTGTTGCTAGTGCTTGAATTGCGGGTCCCATCTGTGCTCCTGCCGCTTCCAATCCTTGCATGCGGCCTTCTAACAGAGCGTTCCTTTCTTGGCTTTGTTGGAGCAACTGTCCAAGCTGATTCACTCGATCCGCCAACTGAGCTAACTGCTCTTCCGGGGTAGCCATTGGTATCACTTACCCAAGGAGCCCTTTACCGGAGCCAGTGCTCCGCTACCACTTTCACAAAATATGCACAGCAAACAGCACACTCAACTATTTTACCCTTGAGCCAAAATGTATGTACAACACAGTGGTTGTGTGACATTTTTATGGAGGTGTAAATTTCAACACATAGACATGTATTTCATATCTATATATGTGGTTTTATATGTATATTACATAATATGTACATGTTGTATATATATATATACATACATATATACATACATATACATATACATATACATATATATATATATATTATACATATTATATTTACACATGTACACCTCTATAAATCAAAAAGTCCAAACCCCTGATCTTCACTGGTGCACCAATCACTTGGCTCTGCGACACATGCCGCGGCTTCCGGGTGAGCAGCTTGCCGGTATCGACCTGCAACCGCTGCGCAACGCGAAGTGTTTTGGCGAAAAAAACGTGGAACTCAACTCACTTGACATGGTTCTTAATGGTTAACAATTATTAATAGGTATTTATGATAATTACTTATAATATGTTGGCAAATATTTATCATGAATGGTTATTAATGGTTAAGTATCGTTAAGTATTAATGGTTAATAATCATTAACAATGGTTGTATATTGGCTATTACTGGTAATTATATAGGCATTGTAGACCCAATATTAATCATGTTCAACTACTATTCAGACGTATAAATCATTCATGGCTATAGTATCGTGTAATTAACCATTAACCATTGTTAATCTGTTAATAATAACCATGAACCGCTCTAATTCAGCATTATATAACCAAGTATTATACAACCGTTATAAAACCATGATATAACCATTATACAACCATTATATAACCATTATATAACCATTATATAACCATTGTTGGTTATATGTATATAATTGTATATAATGGTTATATGACGGGTTAATGGTTAATAATCGCTTATTATTGGCTTTTATCAGCGTGAATGATAGTTGGGCCGCAGTGATCCGATAGTTATATCATAATTAATGCTTAAATCATTAGCAATGATAATTAATGGTTATATCATAATATTCCTCAATATTCAGAATTAATGTATGGTTATTATCAATCTCAATATGGTTATATCATATTTGTGGATTAAGAATTGTCAATGGCCAATAATGGTGAATAATTGTTGACAATAGTTAATGTGGTAAACCCAATAATAAACCTGCCATGACTGGGGATGGTTTTGTTGACCAGCCATAAATTTATGGTGAGTAAAAATGGATGCGCATTACTATTAGACGAAACCGGGTTTACCACATGAAAATTATGCTTTTCATACTTATTGATAATTGATCATAAGTGTTCATAGGTGTTTTTCTAGTGCAGAACATATTGATGGTCATGGTACGGTTCTTAATGGCAAATGATGCTGTTTTTCTAATGCAGAACATATTGATGCTATGGTTCTGGCAAATGATGCCTGAAAGCCATCCATATTCAATAGATGAAGACTACCACCCAATGTTTGGAAGAGTCATGAATCCAAAACAATTGGGAACAGGATTGCGATTGGGACGTATGAAAAATATTTTTTTAAAGAAAAAAGGGCATTCCTATACCCTCAGCTCATCAAACGTGGAAAATCACCCAGTTCCAGACGATTTCCCCCATGTTCCATGGTTAATCTTTAGTATTTGCTGGTTATGGCTCTCCATTTATAGATTAATTATCACAAAAAAGGTTTTCACTACCATCTACAAGTTCCAACCCGGAACATTCCCCAACAAAGTGGAGCTGGTTTTCAACACGCGACCTGCCTCCTCATGCTCAGTGGAGCGTCGTCCATATTGCACTGCCTTGGCCGGGGCTGGGATACCACGGATCTATGACTTTCCACTGCTAGAACCAATCCTTTTTTAGTGGCTGTTTGGGTGGCAATTTTGCGGACAAACTCAATTGCTGGATATCCCAAAAATCCCAAAACAAGGCCCTTCTGCCTGATTTCTATTGTTTCTGCTTCAGCTTTCACATGCAGCAATCTGGAGGACACTGATTTCCAACCAATCTTTCAACTCAAAACTACTGTAAATCATTGAGTCATCGCTTGAGGTCGAAGATCCTCAAAATCTTCGGGTTTTTTTCCGCATCGCCCCACATCAACATATTTATTTTCAGGGACCCCAACTTTGAGAAGCACCCATATCCAACAAAAGGAACGTCAAGGGGTCAAGTTCCCTGATCATCCGGAAAAAAAAAGTAAAAAAAACGATGAATCCCAGAATTGGTCGGAAAATCTACAGGAAAAACCCAGTCAGACTGAGTGATAAACCCAACCAGCCAGTTCCATCTCGGTATCCCCGCAGAGTTGGGGCGTTGTTTCGCCAGTGCCATCAGGTCATGGGGCCGGTTTTTGGTACCACTTTGCCAGCGGTGTTGATGCGTAGTGTTTACAAATGACTGGGGATAAAACAAGTGCCATCTTTCTTAACAGCAACACATTGCAACGGAGGAAGTGTTTGAACCATACTTGAAGACTCTTTTAGAGTATTGAAATTCCACTAGAATTTGAAGATCTTGAAGTTGAAAGTGTGGCAATCACTTCCAAAATCTCAACTGAAACCTTTCAAAGTTGCTTCGCTGTCAACTGGAGACCGGAACGCCCCTTCAGCTTTGAAAGGGGGGTCTATCGCTCGCCTTTTGGAGCCTGGGGACCTGATCTTCAAGTCACTGCGGCGTGGGATGCATCGGTAAAGGCTGGATCCCCAAAAAGATTCAGACCGTTTTTGGCAGAAATCATCCAATGTTTCTGGAAATTCATATTGTAAACTAACATAACTATGGAAATTCATATTAATCATCCAATCATTTTTCAGGGTGTTTTTAGGTTGTTTGTTTCAGGTAGATAAGGTCAGTTGACACCGTGTGGGTTCCAAAACCAATCAGAATACTGACTCGGGATGGACCAATCGCCTTGCTGCAGGGCACGAGCAGAATCTAAAATCATCATTGGTTTCGTCCAAAGGATATATCTGGATACCCCAAAATCCAGTGGTTTAAAAGTATAAAACTTAAAGTTCCTCATGAAATTTGCCGAGAAAGGTATCCCCAGACCCAGCGATTTTCGTTGTCAGTTGTGGGCCCTTAATCAAAACGTACCGGCAGCGAATTTACTCCAATTATGTTGGGTTTCATCATCACCTGTCATGACAACCCTGGATGGTTTCTTCAATTGCGGATGTACCAATTGAGTAGCAGATGATCACTACTTGGGTGTAAGTCTATATAATTCCCCTAATTCATCAACCAGGGTGTAAGTCTAGTTGGAAACATGTTGAAACCACGGAGTCTGGCCGTCTTTGCTGCCGCTGGGACAGAAACCAATCTATTTGCGTTTTGCTGTGAAACCATACCATCTGGACATCTGGCCAATTACCAGTTGCGGTTCACCAATCGCTTCTTTGATGTTCTGACATGACTTGCCGCCAATCTTGGCACGTGGAGCATATCCAATTGCCAAGTTTTGGAAGTGGCTCCGCACCGCTGGTCATAGTCCAAATGATGAAACTTCAGGCGCCGCCATCAGCCACGCAAAAGGCGGTCTCTATCTACAAAAGCTGTTGGCGTTACCATTGGCGCAAGTTTCAATGGCGTAGGTTCAGGAAAAGTTGGCAAGAAACAGTGTTTTTGCCCCTACCTGCCAGGTGAGGGTCTCTGGGTTGTACCAGAGTTCCTTGCCTCCTTCTCCTTCCTCCTCCTTCCTCCTTCCAGCTACAGATCTCAATTGGGCTCTGCCAAACCTCAACCGCGAGCTCCAGATCTCAGTGGGCACTGCCGGACCTCAACCGCGAGCTCCAGATCAGTGGGCGCTGCCAGACCTCAACCGTGAGCGCCAGATCTCAGTGGGCACTGCCGGACCTCAACCGCGAGCTCCAGATCAGTGGGCACTGCCAGACCTCAACCGTGAGCGCCAGATCTCAGTGGGCAGTGCCCATGTCAGAGAGACTGTCAGAATAGATTTCAGATAGAATGCCAAGAATGTCAGATAGAATGCCAGATAAATGCCAGGATAGAATGTCAGAAAAGAATGTCAGAATAGATGCCAGATAGAACATCAGAAAGAATGCCAGATAGAATGCCAGAGAAAATTTCAGAATAGATTCCAGAAAGGATGCCAGATAGGATGTCAGAAAAGATGCCAGATAGAATGCCAGAATACAATGTCAGAAAAGAATGTCAGATAGAATGCCAGAATAGAATCTCAGAAAAGAATGTCAGATAGAATGCCAGAATAGAATGTTGCAAAAAAAATATGCCATATAATATATATATATATACACACTTCCAGATGAGATGTCAGAAACTATAATAATTTGTCACGGTGGGGATCACTATATCTATACTATGTGTACATATTATCTATGTATGTTTTGCATAATATATATATATGTGTATATATGTATATATATATGTGTATATATATATATGTGTATATATATATGTGTGTGTGTACGTGTGCATACATATCCAGAAACGGCGGGTGTGTGTCTGTGTGTGTCAATTGTCTCTCCAGTGGCAAAACTTGACCAAATCGTAGTTTCTTGCACCCGAAGATGAATCAAGGAGAGTACAGCATGGGATGTTGACTCAGTTGCGAATACTAAAGTTACTAGCCCAGGCTGTGAATCAAACGTCAAGGGAGGCCAACGTGAGACATATTGGAACAAATGGCAGGGGACAAACCACAATAGTCGTCCAACGTGGTGATGTTGCTATGCAGCACGGCATAGATGTAGCCTGGACACCATCTGGGGGATTCTCCAGTGCCACCTTTGATTACTGGAGGGTCAAGAAGGGTTTCGTTCCCTACCATTGAAAGCACATCAACCATCATTTAGGGGTCTCACAATTTCACAAGCTTCAACCCTGGTCCATATCCTTTATTTGCAGGTTCATATCCCATTTGGATGTTCGTACCTCTGCATGTTTAAAGGGTCATATTCTAGTTTCGTATGAGTAGAGGACTCGTTTTAACCCGGCATGGTGATTTAAGTCTTACACCCAATGTCCAATGGTATATCCCCATGCTCGTTGGTCTAGTTTATGGTCGAGCCAGCCCCAAAAAAATATGTAAAAGTCAGTGGGGATACTTTTTGTCGAATAGGCTGAATTCTGAATGAAACAGAACAAGTTACATTGAAACCACCAAACAGCAATTTACAATCATGGTTATATCCCCAAATTGATTATATTCCCATGTTTCTTCGTTATATCCACAATGCTTACTGGAAGCAACCGTCATCCATTATATCAATTGAATACCAGTTTGCTGGTTATATATTCTATTAAGTTGTCTATTTTGCAGTTGGTGAAATCTTCCATTGTTGATTTTTAGGGTCTATTCCTGTGCTTGCTCCAATACCATGTGATTCCTGTAAAAAATCTCTGCTCAATGGTGTATCCCCATGTTTATTGGTTATATCCCCAATGTCTACTGGCAAAAAAACAACTTTGTGAATATCAGTTCTTTTACCCATAAATATTCCCATTATATCTGGTTGGTGGTATACCTACCCCTCTGAAAAATATGCTCGTCAGTTAGGATTATGACATTCCCAACTGAATGGAAAGTCATTCAAAATTCCATGGTTCCAAACCACCAACCAGATTATGGTTATAAATGTTCTACATATGGGGATGTCCTGAAAAAAGGCCGAAAGACCCCAGGATGGAGGCTTTCCCAATATATGGTTGGTTGTATCATCATCCCTAAAAAACGTCCCCCACTTTCGGACCGGTTACAATCCCATCCTTTTGCTGCGAGCGTCCATAGAGGCAATTCTCGTTCAAGTGCGCCAGGACGCCGCCGAAGGGCGACAGTTCTTCCAACTCTTCGTTGATCCCTGTGGTCGCAGAGGGCCAATTTTGGCCCCTTTATTTCGGGGGGAACACATGACAGTTTTCATCAGCAAAATGGTGGTTTAACCGAGAAAAGTGGTGGTTTCACTCATTAAAGTGGTGGCTTCACCAATAAAAATGGCGGTTTATCGCCAGCCAAAATGGCAACCAGCCAACATGGCGGTTTCATCGGCAAAAATGACGCTTCTCTCGGGAAAAACACCACGGAACCTGGTGGAAAAAATCACCAAGATTTTCCCAAAATGGGTTTGTCTGAATGGGTATGGTTTGATCGGCATGTTTCCCCTATTACAATTGGAATGTTGGGGATACTCCCCTTTTTGGACAAGCCTATAAATATATATATATATGTATTAATATGCATATGTATATGTATTAATATGCATATGTATATGTAGAAGTAGATATAGAGATATAGAGATATAGAGATATAGAGATATAGAGAGATAGAGAGATAGAGAGATAGAAAGATAGAGAGATAGATAGACAGACAGACAGACAGACAAATAGATAGAGAGATAGATAGATAGATAGACAGACAGATAGATAGATAGATAGAGAGAGAGATAGAGAGAGATAGATAGAGATAGAGATAGAGATAGAGATAGAGATAGAGATAGAGATAGAGATAGAGATAGAGATAGATAGATAGATAGATAGATATAGAGATAGATAGATATAGAGATAGATAGATATAGAGATAGATATAGATATAGATATAGAGATAGATATAGATATAGAGATAGATATAGATATAGAGATAGATATAGATATAGAGATAGATAGATATAGAGATAGATAGATATAGAGATAGATAGATATAGAGATAGATAGAGATAGATAGATATAGAGATAGATAGATATAGAGATAGATAGATATAGAGATAGATAGATATAGAGATAGATAGATATAGAGATAGATAGATATAGAGATAGATAGATATAGAGATAGATAGATATAGAGATAGATAGATATATAGATAGATAGATAGATAGATAGATAGATAGATTAGATAGATTAGATAGATAGATAGATAGATAGATAGATAGATAGATAGAGAGATAGAGAGATAGATAGATGGATAGATAGATAGATAGATAGATAGAGAGATAGATAGATAGATAGAGAGAGCGAGATAGATAGATAGATAGATAGGTAGTTAGATAGATAGATAGATTAGATAGATTAGATAGATTAGATTAGACTAGATTGGATTAGATTAGATTAGATTAGATTTAGATTTAGATTAGATTAGATTAGATAGATAGGTAGGTAGGTAGATAGATAGACAGATAGATAGCTAGCCAGCTAGATAGATAGATAGATAGACATATATATTTATCTACCCACAAAACCACTGTCCCGCTGTTGCTTCAAATGCCAACGTTTTTTCGTGGCGCGAAAGTGCCATTTTTGTCATTGGGGGATGCGACAGACTGAACCCGGCTGCTGGATTCCCCAGGTGAAAAAGAACGGTCGCATCAAGCCGTTGAGGCGACGGCGAGACAGTAGATTTGCGTTACATATATATATATATATATTTATATATATATGATTATATATATATGATTATATATAAGTACACCTGTGCCTATACCTCTTATACAAACCAAACAAATCAATGCTCAGTGGGATATGAATATGTTTCCATTAAACTAACTACATCCAAAATAAATAAATCCCATATCCAACCATTCGACAAGATTTCCCAGGTATGTTTGCTCCTTATTTCATGCTGGTTCAATCCATTATCCTGGGGCATGTGCTGTTCACATCCGAGCTACCTTTCACGCGGCTTGGAATGAGCACCTCGCTCTGAGGGCATACATGCGCCCATTGATTGCCTCATGTGGAACCACCAAAAAGCGGCAGTCTCCCTTTTCTGTGGGGATTCAACCAACATCCAATCAGGTCCATGGAAGAGGTACCCCCAAAATTCCACCAATCAGGTAGGCTCCCCGGCTCCCCAGTAGGGTTTTTCGGCACCTGGCACCTTTCTAATGGGTCAAAAGGAACCCGAAAATGTCACCTGCTCGGGTGTCAGCTCCATGGCTTGCTGGAAAATTGCCCATGTCGTTGACTTTTCCAGCAAAACCTCCATCAAATTGACTTCGGGGATTTCTTGCCGAGCTGATGATACAGGAGGGCATTATCCCCATTTCCTGCATTGACGAGTTCGCTAGTCTTTTTTACCCCAACAGTTAAGCCAACAGCATTCACCAAGTGATGTACTGTACTATCAACTTCATGATTTAGTTAAATCACCTATAAATCCCATGAAGTCCCTGTTATTCTTGGTTAAATCACCATGTTTCTTTCTGTTTTTCTTATGCTACACGGGCATAAAGCCGCCCATGGAATCAGCCCATTTGCCATCCCCAATCGTAGTGGTTTTTGAAATGTCGTTATGCCCAAACGAACATCCCCAATTGAGGTTTATTATTGGCTACTGTATACCCGTAGCTGGGATATTGTTTTCATTGACCCTCAAATGCTAGAAAAATGTAGAAAATAGCCCCCCCTCAATGGTGATATTCCTTGGAGGTGGTCTTAGGATCCAACGTTACCAGTAAACTATGACGTATCTGCGAAGAAATCAGATAATCAGTGGTCATTGACCTGTGCAACAACCAGAATAAAAAACAAATGTTCAGGTGTCTTCGCAGATAGAATCACCATTTTTTTCATAGGCAAATCATCGATGTTTCTGGGAGTAGAAATTGAACATCCAACCCATAGCACCATTTCCCATCTTCCATCGGTCAAGCAGGGATGGCCCCGCTCCAATTCCCGGCTACGACAAACGCCCTGGAAAATTCCAAGTACTTCACCATAGTTTACCAAATATCTAGCCATATCCAGTTGAGAAAAAATGTGGCTGTCCATTTTTATGGGAGTATGTACCCCATTTTTGGTTGGTTTAGAATGGAAAATCCCCATGAAAACCATGAAAAACACATATTTTTGGTTGGAGAATGGAAAATTCCCATGAAAAAATGGATGATTTCGAGGTACCCCAGTGGGAAACCTCCATTGAAACCTGGCGAACCATCGCCCAGATACTGATCTCCATCTCCGAAGGGTCCGGGGCCGAGCCTGTGATGGTTTTTTGGTCGTGTAGTATATTAAAATTGTATATTGATAGTATATTCATAATATATTTGTAGTATAGAAATAGATTTTCTTCATAGATATTATGAAGGATGTTTACAGAAAAGATTTCTATGCATAGTATAAACTTTTTAACAGTACATACATATCCAGATGGTATTTATAGCGCATTTGTATGTATTTATACAAATATGTGTGTACTAATTTGTGTATCATCATTGTGGGATGCTTATATTGACAGAGATTCCATGTATCGTTCTATAGTGTCTATCAATGCACATATAGGTGTACTTCTCATTGACCAGCTTCTTACTCAATATATTTGAGGGGGAATGACATTGTACTTAAATCTAACATCCTTACAGTATATGTTCCTAGAAATGCAGAAACACTCAAATATGAGTCGTCACTCGGGGGTCTCAGGAACTTTGAGAGAAAAGTCGATGCTTGAGATGACTTTTGGGAAACAGTTCTTCTTTCAGTATTCAGAAACCCTCAACATCCCAAACAACACTGAACACTTTGAAACCCTCAACTTTTGAAAAACCTGAACCTTTGGAAGTCCCTGGGAGATTTTTTCACCAACGAAACTGTCCAAACTATCGGAGCCCCTCCGCCAGGGATCCGATGATATTTCCCGACTGGCTGATGCAACTCAAAGGTGATACAACCTGGTTCTCCGCGGGGCGCCGGAGCAGGGCTCCGCAAAAAAGGTGGTTAAACAAATGGTGTTATCCAATGTTAAACGATCATACCTAGCCATAAATATCATAGTCATCCGCTATTTATGGCTACTTACAGGCTATTAAAAGGCAGTATCCCATGTTATACATCCCAAAGATGGGGCTTAGTTCATCCCAGGAAGTCAAAATCCCAAGATCAACTCTGGCCTCCGCCAAGATATGCCAAGATATTTTTTGGGGTCACACCAAAACCAGGGGACATATTGCATGCGTTAATAACTATGAATATGTATAAAAATAAATATGTATATATATAAGATTTCGACGCAGGCACACTCAAACTTAAATGTCATATATGTGCACAGATATATACAGTGCATACATGTTGAAAATGTTCTTGAACTTCAACCTGAATTCACCAGTTGTCATATCTTCAAGTCTATAAAATTTTCCACAGAGTCCATCCGTGAGTTCTTCGGAATCCATTCGTCATATCGCGCAACGCAATCGTAGACATCGCTGACCGCACTGAATGCATTCCACATCTTGTGAAACGGCATGACCTCGAGCGAAAAATGGCATCCATGACTTGGTGGAAATCACGAGATTCACGGCTGCGAAAAATATCAATATATAGATAGATAGATACTGGTTGGTGTTATACCTACCCCTCTGAAAAATATGAAAGTCAGTTGGTATGATGATTCCCAATATATGGAAAAATAAAAAAATGTTCCAAACCACCAATCAGGATATATTGTATAGATACATAGATCTGGGTAAATTATAATAGTTCACTAACCTGAATAGTTCGGCCATTTGGGGATGATTCCCCTAAAATAAACCATGATTTCCAGGGTTCGGGAGAAGAGTGAGGTCGCTATAATTTATCCAGATAGATATATACAGATATATACAGAATTATACAGATATAATCCCATCCCCCTAGTATTATATCTCCATGAGTGCGCCCCGCCAAACGAACAGATCTCATTCCACCAGGGCGTCGTTTGGGTCTTTAAGATTGGCACTTGCAGCCCTACAAGGTGTTTTTTTTTGCTAGAGTAATTCTTGGGTTTATGATGACTAAATTGTCATCATGGTTACTAGATTACAACCATTAACAACCATAACCATGATAACAATTGGTTAATGACCATGATGACTAAATAACAAAATTATTAACCAATTGTCATGGGTATGGCTGTTAATGGTTGTTTGGATGGGTTATAATGATCATGATCAACCAACTGGTTGTTATCTTGTTTAATGGTTGTGACTGGGTTTCAACCAACAAAGATTTCAACCAACGTGACTGGGGGATCCCAACATGTGGGCCTTCACGTCCAACTGGTGATTTGTTCGTCAAAAAAATTGGCAAAATGTTGCCTTATTCTAGGCATGTTTAGACAGATTCACTGATTTGGGGTGATCAAAAAATTGGCACTCACGGCAACCTACTTTTTGTTGGGGGTCTCCTTGCATTCTCACCATGGAATGATGCAGAAGAACCCCAGCTTGCTTTCCCTGAAAGTTGGGGTGCTGCCCAGCCGCGTGCACCAAATCGTTATAGGTATTGATCCGGATCAACTTGTCACAAAGTGCCTGGCTGTCGCACAGAAACCAACCTGGATTTTTTTTTGGTGAGTTCGAGGCAGAGATCATGTGTCCACGTCCATATCCATATCTATATACATACAATGTGAGGCCCCCCAGTGATGTGAATGTTGGTTAACAGATTCGCCCCAGTAACTAGTTCGTTATAAATGCCATAAACCATAGTGAAATGGGACTTATAAACGCACCAACTGAACGCTATAGTAAACGGGGGCCTCACTAATTGTATCTGTTAATTGGAATCTGGCACAGCGAAGCCAGTTATAGTGGCATCTTAAGATCCAGTTATAGTTATGTCCAACTAAGCTACAATTAGTGAGGCCCCCGTTCGATAGCGTTCAGTTGGTGCAAATAAGTCCCATTTCACTATGGTTTATGGCATTTATAACTATAGTTACTGGGGCTTTTGTTAACCAACTTATAACTGGGGGGCCTCACATTGTAAGTTTCCTTGCAAAAACAAATCAGAAGAAAAAATGCCAAGACTGGCTCGACCGACTATCTGTGCAGTGGCCAAACCCCTCATGGGATTGATATCCATTTGCACTCATTATTGTTTGGTGGTGAGTGGTGACCCCTGAATTAATCAGCCGCTTGGTAGGAAAAAGACATCTATGACACATGACCCAAAAAATAATCTTATTTCATGTGTACCCTTCCACCTGCTTTCATGGCTAGAGCTAACGTTGTTTCTGGGAAAAGATTCCTGCATCAGAAAGCCTCAAGAATTACCCATATATAACTCAGATGGTGAAATAATACCAATTCCTGTTAGTAACCCAGCTGGCTGCAGATCACCCAAATACAAAACGCAGTTGCAAAAAACACGGAAGATAAGACATTGTCGGTTCACAATCTGTTCAACGCGAACAAAGCACATATAACTCCCGCAGTCAGTGACTCACCGAAAACATTCGGAAGAAGAAAGTGGGAATTGGAAGTGCTCTTTGTAACCACTACAGTAACAATGGAATGGTTATCTGAGTGCTCAACAACCATTATTATTGGGTTATAACCAATGTGTTATTATAGTGCTCAATAACCCAATGTCTTATTCAATATTCGCGCAGTTGTCTGCCATAACCAGTCAAAAACATGGCTTTGCCCTAAGAGTTGGCACACACCAAAGTCCCCATTATGTCGGCAGTTTCTATGGCAATCTTAATAGGGAAACGAGTTTCTAGCCATTGGATTCTAGGGGTAGCCAATTTTGGGACGAACCCGTGTAGCTTATTTTCCAGCTAGCATCTTGGGGTATACACCATTTTCAAACAAACCCATATCTTTTTGCTGGTTGTTTCTCATGTTGCTTGCTTATAAATCCCCATTTGGGTTTGTCTGAAAATTGGGTACACCCAAATTTGATGGCGCATCATTAGTTTCCCTCTGAAAAGTGCCATAATTGGTGGTACCCCCCGTTTAGACACACCAAGTGTGGATGTTTATACAGATCGCTCAATAACCAACAAATACAACCAATACCAATACTATGTTGAAAACTAGTTCAACTACTACTTTTTTTCCATGTTGGCTAGTTATCCCATGAATTGCTACAGGTTAACAAATAACAAAATATTGCTTCTCCCATAGAACTATCTAGTAACCAATTATCATCAGCTTACATGAAACTTACGAACAATATTGCATGTCAACCTGGTTGATTTCAGTAATTGGGGGAAATCTTTCCAAATAGTGAGAAGATGCTGAAAAATGCTACCACTCGAAAAAAGCCCAGTATGGATGAGAATCTCCAGCAGATTCTGCCTGGGGGGTGGCTCACTCAACCACCAGCCAGATGTATGTATGAGATTGTATAACTGGTTGGTGGTTTGGAACCATGGAATTTTATGACTTTCCATTCAGTTGGGAATGGAATGTCATCACTCCAGCTGACGAACTCATATATTTTTCAGAGGGGTAGGTTGAAACCACCAGCCAGATAAGTATAAGTCATTGTAAATCCCCCATGTTTCATAGTTGAACCTCCTTTGTTGACGGTTGAATCTCAATCTTCTATGGTTATATAAATTCACCGAAAAACCACCCGCCAGAATGAATCAATCATATCCACGCAAGGGTCAAATTTTCTTATATTTGATAGTCTGGTGGGTGGTGCAATAACCATCTTGAACAATATGAAAGTCAATGGGAATGATTATCCCACATATTATGGAAAATAAAAAATGTTCCAAACCACCAACCAGCCTTATATTTGATAGTTGTATCCCCACTTATCACCCCTTTCTTCAGTGTTACTGTTCCGTTGATATTCTCGTTTTTATAGTTAAACCATGTTGAACCCCCCATGCGTGTAAATCCCTACATTCACTATGGTTTGCGGTGGTTGCTTAATGTCAATGCGGGAAGAAATGTTATATCCCCACTTATCACCACCTTCAATGTTCCATTTATATTCCTATTTTTATAGTCAAACCTCGATGTTTGATGGTTAAACCGCTATAGTTGATGGTTTTATCCCTTATCATCCGATGTTTTATTGGCTAGTCCAGTAAATCTCCAATTTTCATAGTTGAACCATGTTGAACTCCCATTTTTGATGCTTAAATCCACCCAAAAACCGCACCTGTTGCTGCCACCAGTCATCCAAGGCCTTGTCCGCCACCCGTGGCACGCCGAAGCCTATCACCGCTTCGGGCCTCAGTCGAAGGTCTGGAAAAATGCTGGGCTTTGGCCAATGAAAAATGGAACAAAGAATGGGAAAATAGCATCAAAATGTATTGTCATTTTCATTTTGTATGTACCATTTTAATGAAAAATATGAAAAATGTTCTTTACAAAGAATGGTAAATTGTATGAAAATGTAAAGAAACATCACCCATAAATGGCAACATGCTGGGTATTTTGCCGGAAAATCATCAAACTATTGGACCATCGCCCATCCGAGCTTTCTGAATACCGATTGACCGATTGGCCGATTGGCACCTCAACATGGAATCATCAGGAAACCCTCGATGTTCATCGTCACAAAATGATGCCAAACTTGCTGCTTGAGGCAGGATCCAAATATATCCAAATGTTCTCAGCTGGATGGGTATGCTCCTCAGCAACATTGAGCAAATGTCATATGAGCCATGGTCAATACTCACTATATGGTTGATGGTCATCCCATCCATAATAAGGATCCTTATAATGGTTATTATAAATCCCTATGAACCATTGGATGACTAGCCCCTATTAATGGTTATTAACCATGAGTATTGACCATAGCTCATATGTGCATGTCTGTTCTTTAGGGAAACCTAGTCATTGAGATATACCCGTTGACCCATCCATCCTGGCCCAAAAACGTCTCGGTGCCGAGGCACTTCCGTGGCCAGTGCTCTGCAAAAGCCTGCAGCGAAGAGAACACGAAATGGTTTGGTTGAAATGTTCAAAAATGGGGCACGGAATCACACGATATTGGGGAGTGTCCAACCCGAATGGAATTCACAAACAAAAAATTGGATACCCTCTGGTAATTTAACATAGCTATTGAAAATCACCATTTTTAATGGGAAAATCCACTACTAATGGCCATTTTCAATAGCTACGTTAAATTACCAGAGGTGCCGACAACACAAGGTGCGGACAGCCCCATGAGTAATTCTCTGTCAGAACAGATTCACAACACCTCTCTGCAGGATGGTGCCCCTCAGTTATAAATTGGTTTATAAACCCCATTAACTATAGTTATATCTGCCATAAACCATAGTTATGGGAGTTATAAACCAACTTAGCTAACTATGGGGCACCACCTTGCACCTTGTAGACATAATATGTCCGAGACTGAAAGACCGTCAAACCTACTGGGGAAACCCTGCTGAAACCCTGCTGAAACGACTATCGCATGGTGAATCCTTTGAGTGATGACCTGACTCATGGCTTTCAAGTTTATGCCTACGGCCCGAAAACCGGCCCAGCGTTTTTGCATTTTTTGCGTTGTGATATGTTGGGGGTGGTGGGGGGTGGGTGAAGGGGGGTAACAACGTTCTTGGTCTTCGTTTTCGTCGACTTACGTTGGACACGTCTTCTGTACTTCGGTGGATGCAATTCATCTTACGTTGGACACGTCTTCTGGCCGCAAGTTGGAAGAGAAAAGAAGTGCCGTCGCTGTGGCGAAACGCATACCCATCCAAAAAATCTAACGGTTTTTGAGGGTATCCAACATAGATTTTTTTAGCTCCCACTGCAATAAAACTGAGATTTTTGGTAGATCCCAGTAGAATTGCAGTAGCAAAGGACACCAAGATGATTGTAGACATGTGGCAAACGCCAGGTTTTGAGAAAGAAACAAAGACTGATCTTTAAAAAATATGAAAAATGCTGGGCCGATTTCCGGGCCGTAAATCGACGTTTCTGCTCAACCCTCGAATCGCTGAGAATGACCTGGAATTACATGGAATAACATGTTTGGAAAAAGTGCCCTCTGGTTATGACTAACATAGCCATGGGAAATGACCCATTTATGGTTTACCTAAATGATCCTAAATACGCGTTCCACTCCCCTACTAAGTTTGTTGTAGGATGTTTTTAATATCATCAAGGGGGAAAGGAATTTTCCATTACAATCCCATGATATCCTATGACATCCCATCAAATCACCATGAAATCCCATTAGATCACCATCAAGTGCCATTAAAATCCCATATACATCCGCCTTAGTGGCTGCCAGCAGCGCCAATGCGCCACCCAAGCTGTGCCCCGTGAAGATCAGTTTCCAATCGCTGGGCACTGCATGGAAGAGACCTGGCACCATCTAAGAGCTCGGGTTTACTTGTGGCAGCTAAGTGGGATGTGATGCAATCATTGAGTATCCATAGATAATGGTAGAAATTGGGGGTTTCCATAAATGGAGAACCCAAAATAGCTGGATGGTTTTTGTTAGGGAAAAGTCTAAAGAAAAATGGATGATAGCTGGGGTACCCCGATGACTTGGGAAACCTCCATGACTCGGGAATTCATGGCACCGGCACCTTTTTTTCGAGCTCGGAACAGCACTTCTGGTAGCGAAATCAAAAATGGGATGAAGTGATATGTTTTTACTGAGTATCCATAGATAATATCTATAGATATCATTATATCACTACTGGTGAGTATCCATAGATTCCATGGGTCTTAGAAACCAAATCATTTGGAACTAATATCTATGTCGTTACTGATATTTTTTGGGCTCTTACCAAGACATAGGGATACATCACCAGCAGAAATTTGTCAAATTAGCCTACAAAGTTATGTGGAATTCGCGGTAGCTAAGTTGGTTGAGCTCAATAGATTAACTAGGATTTATGCTCGGTAGATATATGATATATCTTATAAATATATCTGTAGATAATGATGGTTGCAAACCAGCTTTGATGATGATATTACCCTCCGGTGTCATTAGCTCCATAACTGAGAAATCCTCAAACTTTGAGGGGCATTTAAATGGGAAAATCATCGAACTAAATGAGGGAATTGCCAGTGCAATGGTGAGAAAATCAACACAGTAACCCTCAAAACCATGCAGAACATGTGGGATGTTCCTTTTTGATATGTTTTTTTGGGTGGTGCACTGCACACTTGTTTTTACACCATGAATTCTGGAGATTTCCGCAAATAAGAAACCTTCATTCAATGCTAGGAGTGGTGGAGAGATACTGATGGTGAATAAAATTGCACAATTGCTACCATGGTCTAGTTAGGTTTGATGTTAACACTTACTTGTCACTGCAAGCCTGCCATTGCCATATGCCCCTCGGTTCTCTTTGTTGCTTTTTCTAAATCCCACTACCTAGTCCTAGTTCGTTGTATCTACAATTATCAACATTGAAATATGAAAGTCGAATACTCCAATCATATGAAGTTATGAGTGTGTATATACCATTTGGTTATTTAACAGTTCGCCATGGAAAATCACCATGCTATTAATAGGTAAACCATCTATACATGGGCCATGGCTGCCATGGCTATGTTAAATAACCAGAGGGTAGATGCTATTAGCCCCATGAAGTTGATTGGAGTCTATACACCCAAATATCGTGGGGATTGATGGGGGGATTAGTTACCCTCAAATATGGTGTCATTCGCTGAAAAAAACCCAACCTGATGTCTTCGAACTAGAGATTCGACTGGAAGCGTGAAACAACTCCGGTTGGCAAAAACGAAAAAACGGTGTTTGGTAAGTCTAGAAGGACCAAAACTTATGGATGGCTTTGAATTCTACAGTAGGAAGTAGAGATGCTTCTCTAGTTCGAAACCCTGGTCGAAATTTGTCTTTGTTGAAGCCAATTCTTGGGGCCGGAAAATGAAGCTTGGGATTTCTCACCCAAGATTAAGGACCATCCTTGCAATGAACCAGCTGGGTAGCCCACAATGCAATCAGCACAGGCGGAAGATTGAAAACTCTCAGGCTGACAAGGCTTGGTACCCCCAGTTATCATCCATTTTAATAGGGTTGTCCATGACAAACCATCCAGCTATTGAGGTTCCCCTATTTATAGATGGCGCAAACAGGTCGCCCCAGTCCCGGTACTTCACCAACTTCGGGGCCTAGAATGTAGCCATCCACCCATCGCTTCACATGTGGAAGGATGTGGTCCAAGGCTGTCAAAAAGCCTTCATGCACCAAAGTGATGTTTCCATTGGGCAAAGTCCTGTGGGCTTTAAAAGAGCTGTGACAAAGTGGCCAGTCACCCGGTCGAATCTATGTGTTCTTGGCCGTTCGTCCAATGTGGATCACTTGTTCCATTCAAATACGAAGAAATTCAGGTTTTTTCTCCATCGTGGTCCACGTTTCACCATGGATTGTTGTTGCTCATCCTACTAAGAAATGTGGACTGGAGCGTAGTTTTTTTCTGGTTTTTGTTAACATAGACCCTGGCAGTCATCGAGGTTGGAAGATTAGTGAAATGAATGAACTGTTCAGGGTCTATGAACATTTACCAAAGGGTAGCATGTTATAACCCATTTGTAGATTATAGAAGATATAATGCACGTATGGAACTGACGATCACCAGGGTTATGAAACAGGTTACCTTGGTAATGTTCCAAGTTGGTGCTTCATCCTACGAATCGCAAGTGGGTTATATATTTAGTTCGGTTGGGTAAGCAAGGTTTGTCCACTTATGATTGGGGTTTCAACTTTACTTCGAAGCCGGGTGAACCACCAATTCAGCTGTGTCCAAGCACGTGACAACTGATTACTTCCAAAATAAGAACTGTTTTCCATCCCAACATAAATATACATAAATCACCTCAACACCTTGACGGGACCCTATCTTTTTTCGAAGTATCCATGGAGGATCCAGTTTTTTCGGTCAAAACACCAAGTCGTGGCAAGCAGCGTCTACCGGTCTACCCATCTACATTTAGCGCCCTGCCATCTTGTTTTAATTGGCAGTGTCAAATAACACCTTCGCAAAATAAGCAATCGCTGATTACCCTCTGGTAAACTAACATAGCTATTGAAAATGGTCATTTATAGTGAGTTTTCCCATTAAAAATGGTGATTTTCCATAGCTATGTTAGTTTACCAGGCCGGGTAATATCACATGAATTTCCCATTCATACCCCATTAATTCCCATGAATATCCACACAGACAGGTGATCCACTGGACGTTTTCTACGCCAATCGATCTGTGGGAGGATTGTCAATGAGAAATGCGGTCATTGGATAGTTTTGGTACCAACCAAGCAACCAATTTAAAACACGCTCAACAGCAATTTTTTCTACAGATTTTGAGTAGTGAAATTACCACCTTTTTCTGCATCAAAAGTTGTAAAAAATGGGGAAAAAAACACCCAGATCATCCCGCTGAGGGTGTTTGACAAATTGCTTCAAGGAGCCCCAGCAGCAAGTTGCAGCAAGGTTCAGTAACTTATATAACTTATATAACTGTTGAGTTTGTGGTAGATATATCTAACTAGGTTTTAATATCATTATAATCTCATCATAGAGAATATATCAATATATCAATCTCATCACTATTAATGCAATCGTTGGTTGATAGCTTTCCCTATAACTTATCAGAATCCCCAAGAACCAGCTAGTGGAAAATTGCATTTATATCTATATATATATATCTCCATATAATGGGATTTTAATGGGATTTCAATGGTTAATATATGGCAATAATGGTAAATATATGGTTAATGATGGTTAATAATAAGCTGGTTGGTGGTTTTTACCATCTTGAAAAATATGAGTTTGTCAGTTGGGATGGATGACATCCCATATATGAAGTGGAAGATAAAAAATGGTCCAAACCACCAACCAGTAACTGTTGGGTTTCTGGTAGATATATCTAACTAGTTAACTCGTTAGATATAAACCAACGAAGATAAGGTGACTGGGGGCACAACCCTCCCAACTACCATCCAACATCATCCAGTTGGGCATTTTGGCGGAGATGATTCATCTGTGGGACTTTCCAGAAAGCCATGTTTGATTACCAGAGGCTCATCGTCACAACCCTTCTCCAATGCTTTCTTTCACCCATAGGAATTCTCTAAATCTCTGTTTCCAAACTGAGCAGTTCCAAAAAAATTGCATCCCAACAGAATCTACCCTCTGGTAAACTAACATAACTATGGAAAATCACCATTTTCAATGGGAAAATCCACTATCAATCACCATTTTCAATAGCTATGTTAAATTACCAGAGGGTACCAGTATTCCCATGTCCGAAATGCCCAGCGTCATGGGAATTCGCTGAATATCCGCATCCACATGCCAGTTCTTAGCCGATTCGAACTGTGTGCCGCGGAAGGCCACGATGGCCAGTTTCCGGCGACTGGATTTGAAGACACGCGCGTGGATGTTCCTTAGCTCCGTGCAAATGTGGTGAAAATGCTTGGTGTTTCACCATGAAAAATGAGAATTTTGCCAACAATGGGAAAATTCATGAAAAAAATATATGGGAGAATCATCTATAAATTTCATGATGTTTGAAACTGTTGGGGTGATTCTTTATTTCACCCCAACTACACTTCGGATTTGACCCAATTTTATGCTGGCCATTTGTTGGGGCCAATTTTGGGCGACTTGATTTAGTGGAACTGCAGCCCCAAAGAATCCAGGACAACCCAGCTATAAATGGTGATTTATAGTGGAATTACCCAGCTATAAATAGTGATTTTCCATAGTTTTTTGTATGATTTTGTATGTTTACCACTCATATATGACGAATGGGTGAAATTACAGGATTTGAACCAAACAACGGAGGCGCATCAACAGAAATGGTGATTTTTCACGAGCCAGTGATCACTCCCTGAATCTCTGATGTTTCCCACCCTGGTCCACGTTGCGAAATTTCGCAGGGATAGCCCCCTTGGAGGATCATATCACTTCTGGGGTCACTTCACCCATTTACCCTCTGGTAAACTAACATAACTATGGAAAATCACCATTTATAGTGAATTTTCCCATGAATAGCATGGTGTTCTGTTAAATTACCAGAGGGTAGATCTTCAAGAATGCTTCCCCTTGGGAAATTTTGGGAATATGGATACAGCCATATCACAGCCATATCTCCAAACTCTTCCCTCCGAATCCAGATGGTTGCCATTCCCACATCACCAAAAAAAACCATCGGCCAAGATGCTCTCGATCTTCATTCAACATGTCCACATCCTTGGTGGAAATCCACCGGATTCCCAACAACATCTCTGGTTGCTGGTTGACCTACCCCTCTGAAAAATGATGGAGTTTGTCAGTTGGGAAAATATGGGAAAATATATTCCCGATATTTATGAAAAAAAAAAAAATGTTCCAAACCACCAAGCAGATCTCTATGCTTGAGAAACCCTTAGTAGCTCCTTGGCTGAGAATATGGATACCCCAAAATCACTCCTCAGCTCCTTAGCTCCCTCGGTTCACCAAATCAATCATCCTTAGCGTCCCAATCATCAATGGCCAGGCAGACGTTGGTCCGCCCCTCCAGCAACCCCGTGCGGATCTTCACGTGCATCTGGTGGTTGCCCACATGCGAATTCTCCACCGTTGGCCCCAGACTCGGGCTGTTCTGGACCGCCGCCTGGTTGGAGGTCTGTTTTTCGCCGTTTTGGGGGAAGTGAGTCGTCAAGAGATGGGGGAAAAATGCTGCAGTTGCCCTTGGGAAAACTGGGATAGATGTGGAAAACTCCAGGAGGAAAACCAGTTCGGTGGCTTTTTGAGATCTGTCTGAGGTCTGGAGTAGGGAACATCCCACCATTTGATTTTGTGGTTCCGAGGGGGCCTTCCACAACCCAACCGCGAAGAGGAGGAGATCATGTGTGAAGCAATGAGGTAAACCCAACAATAAACAATCCCCAACTAGGGTTTATGATTGGGTACCCTCTGGTCATTTAACATAACTATGGAAAATCACAATTTTTAATAAGAAAATCCACGAACTAAATGGCCATGTTCAATAGCTTTTTGTATGTTTACCAGAGGGTATACCCCTTGAAATGGTTTATGATTAAAAAGGAAGCCCTGGTTCTGGATCGTTACTGGAATGGTTTATGGCAAAAAACCTGGTCCTTGATGAAACCAACGGTCGGGTGGTGATTGTATGCCCTGGATTCATGGGACTCTCTCTCTCTCCCTCTTGGCTAAGTGGATGATTGACATGGTTGCGGAGTGACTATACATATGTTTAAATGTAGCAGATTTGATTTGTTTTGCTCGAAGTTTGTGAAGATCCATTTACTGTCTTGATTTTTGCAAGACCCTTCCAAAGACACAATTTACCCTCTGGTAAACTAACATAGCTATTTAAAATGGCCATAGAAATTGAAATCGTGAGTTTTCCCATTAAAAATGGTGATTTTCCATCGTTTTTTGTATGTTTACCAGAGGGTAGACACATGTCAAAAATAATGCCATTGATTCGAAGCAACTAACCATAAGCCATTGGCGTTGTGAACAGAATTGTCCCAGGTTGTGGACCAAGAAATGGCAAAGACATGCTTCCTCTCTGGTTCTCCCTACCGTGAAATGTAGCTTTGCTTCAAATCCCATATTTTCAAGTGACTCTCTGGCCATGCACATACCCTCTGGTAATTTAACATAGCTATGGAAAATCACCATTTTTGATGGGAAAATCCACTATAAATGGCCATGTCAATAGCTTTTTGTATGTTTACCAGAGGGTAATCATGCTAGGATTATAAATCACCACTTTTTGTGGCTGAATATCCACTACTTTTGGTTGATATCTCGAATGTTTCATGCTTTCCGCAATGTTTCACCTGGTGTTGTTAGTTGATATCCCCACATTTGTAGCGGAAAAAAATGCCCCACGCTTTGTGGCTGAAAAAAATCCCATGTTTGGCCTAACATCCACCCATACAGTTCAATCCCAGGCCATTTTCTTCTCCCATTCAGTGCCGAACCTTCAAAACATTTCCGGCCCATTCGGAGCGAATGCCCTGGGCCTTCAAAAACATTCAGAGCTTGTTGTGGAAAACACATCTGAACCAAACGAAAATAAGGCTGTCTGAACCAGAAATTGGAATTTCAGTGCCAGAAATTGGAGATTTGACAAACAACGACATGAGAGGAAAAAATAAGTTGTGGGCGGCAAGAATGGAAATTTAGCGATGTTCAGACAAGTAAAGATTGGGAATTGGGAGCCAGGCTCAATCTTGAGGGTAAAAAATCCAACAAGACAGGCAAAAACAGATTGGATTCGCAAGTGGAACAGTACCAGCAATGCATAGTTGAAATTGTCCTCCTCCCGCTTAGTATTAATCCCAGCGTTTTTGTTGGATATATATGATATATGATATCTCCCAAAAAAAAAACATTTTGCTGGGCTAACTATATCCTATATGCCAATCCCATCTAATCCCCCCAGAAAATTGACGGGTGAAATCCCTTTATATATATAATATGATATAATATAATAGAATAGAATATCATATAATATAATATAATATAACATAATATAACATAATATATATATATATCCCCCTTATATATTTCTACAGCTTATACATGCGCTAATCCCCCCAGGGTTTTTCATCTCCACATCCGCCTGGCCATTCATCACGCTGATGGTGGCAGCCCAGGAGGCCCCCGCGAAATGAATCCCCGGGTGCCGTCGCATCTGCGCCTGGCGAACGGTGACGGACATGGGGAGTTCATGGAAAGGATGGGATAATCTATGGATAATCTATGGATAATCTATAATCAGAAACATGGGAAATTTCTTGGTTTCAAACAAGCATCAAAACATGGAAATGATGGAAATGATATGTCGATATGATGCATCAAATATGTGGATTCTGAGTCGGCCAAAAGGCCAAAACTTTTGTGGGGACTCCATCCACAAATGATGAAAACTGCACGGGGATTTCATGGGAATATCGGGGATGCAATGGGATATGATGGGATAGAATCCAGCAATGAAAACCCAAGAAACAGCCAGGGGTTCTCAATCCGTGGTCGACATTGACCCAGGATTACCAGATTTCAACGCTGAAAAAACAGCCAGAAGCGGAAGTGAAGGGCCCCGAAATCATCTCCGCGTTTGAGGTACAAGGGCTGAAAATGCCAGAGGTTATGGAGAGTTTCACGTTGGTACACCCTTACCGGCTTACCGATGCAGAGTTGAAAATTCAAGCCGAAACTCCAGGGATGAACATCCTTTGAACTACCACCTATTTTGATGTGACAGGGGATTCCATTGGTTTTGACCATCCAACTACAGAAAATGGCCAGCAGGCACATCACATTCACCAGGGCACCTCGCTACTCTCGACCCAACACGTGGTGCAGTAGCCCAAATGTTCACCTGCCGAGACTGCGCAGATCAAAAGTACTCGCAGTATATGCAGTTCTTTTAATCTATATACTTATTGATTGATTTATATGCGATCGAACATCTAAGATCTTGTAGATACATATATACATATATAGTACATATAGTATGTATGTATAGTATAGATATATGTATATATATATATACATGTATATACGATAGATGTACCTGTTTCTCCACTGGGATTGTGTATTCATAGCACCAACTTCCTCAAAAACGGCCAGGTGGCATTCCAAAAATTGGAAGGGCCAGCCCAAGGCGTTGTATCCTGGGCATTGCCACCCACTCATCACGGATTGGTTTTTCTTTGGATTGATTTAACCACTTCGTCCACAAAAAGTCATGAATACTGCTTGATTTCATGGTCAAGAAGTGCTTGATTGCTATTGTTCATGAATGGAGATAGCTATATATATATATAGCTGCTATATATATATAATGGTGGTTTAAAAAAAAATGGTATATATTGGGTTGGATAAGAATGAATTATGGGTAAACAAAGTGACTATGGTGGATTTCTTAAGTCATGGGCACCACCATCCAAGCTGTTGATCAATAATCCATGGTTTGTAAAGCTGGTCTCTGGTGTGGTTTCTATCAGTGGAACCAAAAAAAACTGTAATGGTTTCTATAGACTACCAAATAAGAGACTATTGATAGGAACCATAATAGAAACCATTGATAGGAAACATAATAGACTATTGTTGGTTTCTATCAATGGTTTCTATCATAGTTTCTATAATAAGTGTTCTTTAATTACTGGAAACTCCCCAGTAATTAGAACCACAGAGATTGGGAAAAAACTCTTCCAGTTGGGTATGGTTGAAATCCCAGCCATTTTTCCTGTCATTGAGGACAGTTCGGATGTTTTAGGTTTACCGTTCCATCAACTCCCTGAAGATGGAGCAAAAATGGAGCAAGTCGGAACCAATGTTCGAACATCACAGGTCTAATGCTTCTGGAATTGAAAAAAAAAAACAGTTCTTTACCCACCAAAAATGCCCCATTTTTTTTGGGATAGTTTCATCACCAAAGTATTGTCAGAATCCGAGACGGAAGGCCGAAGCTCCACCGCAGCAAGACGTTGTACCAGAACCCTCCGCAAGGACCCCTGGCGTTGACTGTGCGTTGAAGTAGAACTCCACTTGTCAATGATAGTAAGCCCCAAGGTTCGACAGAAAAGGTGAACCATTTCTGGAAAATTTTTGTTAGCGTTGGATTTTACTGTTCTATCTTTGTTGGGAATTCCTATTACTACAATCGAAATTTGAGTATGGGTGTGCTATGGTCTGTTCTTTGGCGTTCAACTGCAGACGTGATTCTGAGATTAAACGGATTAAACCACCAAAACAACCGTGAAATCACCATCAAACATGAGCATGTTTAAAACAGCAAAACCGTGAATCAACTATATTTAGAATTGTAATTTGATCAGCAAAAATGAGCCATGATGATTTAAGCGGATGTCTTAGATCCATTCCGAAAAAAAGTCTGCCGAAAACGGCCCAAGGGCCTGGTACGGGGCACTTGAATTGGAAGGGATCGGTGTCACCAAAGATCTTCTCATAGGTTGACATACCTTTGCTGACTTGGACGCTGACCGTTGTCATAGTCCGCTCTATGAGTAGATACGGAAATCATTATGTTTGCGCTCTCATGCATCAGAATTTCCAGTCAGACTCACCAATCATGCCCGCCACTTACTATCATGGATGATCACTGAAATCTCACAGCCAGCAGGTTGCAGGCGTTCCATCACCTGCTTTATGACCTGCATGCATCTAGCCTTGCCAAGCTTCGTTGGTACCTAGTACCTAGTGGACCAAATTTCTCGACCCTTGCCGACCCCCCAGGCTTTTCTCAAAGAATCAGAGGTCACAAGAGGGAAAACCAAGGAAAACTAAACTGAGGGCCAGAGACATCTAGAGGCCTAAGTTGTCAGGAACTGATCTTCAGTTGACCAGGGACATGTTTTTTCATCCCAAGCGTGTTGTTGGTTGCATCATGATAGAGTTGCCGTCCCCAACACCCAGCCATTGATTGTGACAATTCTTGTTAGTCATGACCCTGGCATTTCAGCCACCAAAAATGGAGAGGTCTACGGCTGGTTGAGGATCTACACTGATCCTGGTTGTTTGTTCATCCCCGGCTAAAAATGTGAAATGTTGACAGGCATGTGTGGTCTTTGCACTCGATAATATGGATACCACTCATTTTACAGAATTGGTATTACCCACTTCTGTTGGTGAATAATATCCTTCAAACTTCCGAACTCTTGATGAAATACCCATATCCAACAAGAATGGATTTTGTCCCAGTTTCAAAAGCACCAAAGATCCTTCAAATGTCCACTTTTGTGGGTTGAATATACCCACTATGCATACCCATTCCTGTTGGAAAATAAGTTGATCTGAAAATAACGTACCCCGAAATCCACAGCTTCATCATGACTTTCCTCTTAAAAATTGAGGCTTAAATCCCCCATTGACAAAGTCACAACGCCAGGCGACTCAACTGGAAAATGCTAAAGTCCTTGGTGACGCCCTTTACAGCTGTCGAGTCCGACGCAGTTTTAGAAAGCGTTGTGGGGACGTGTTCAGAGCGCCGCAGCAGGGGAACGGCATACAGCAACGAAACCTGAAGCGTTTTTTGCGCCGATATGGATCCCTTTGGTAAAATATCCTTTTGAATGGGAAAATCAACGAACTAAATGACCATTTGGCTATGTTAGTTTACCAGAGGGTTTTTTCCCGGGTCAACGGGAGAAATAGAAGGAAACAGACCATGATGACATGATTTGATGCTGATTTAAGATATGCAATCGACACGATGATATGCACGGGGGATAAATGGAGATACCCTCTGGTGAACTAACATAGCAATTGAAAATGGCCATTTATAGTGGATTTTCCCATTAAAAATTGGGATTCAAACCAGAATGCACAGAATGAAAAGTGAGATAATTTAATGTAAGCGGATATGAATGATGGGATGTAATCAAATCCGATGCATAACCAACACTTTGATATGGTTTCGTCCAAGAATAGGGCATACCCTAATTTTGGGCTACCCTAGTTTCAAAGTATAGTGAATATGATTGGGACAAGATTTGGCAATCATAGACAATACCAAATTAAGTTCAAAAATCAGAACCTTGCAGGAACCAATAGTAAATTCAACATCTAAACCACCCTTTGGTGGCTTTATGCGCTCTGAAATACTAAATGCCAATTTTTCCTGTCACTTTTGGTTGTGTCATCTTGTGTCATTGTTGTTGGTGATTCTATCCTTATTTTGAAAGGGTCAAAACAATATGTTCTGGGTGGTGACATGATTTTTTCCGTTGCTCAACTAGAATTATGTTCACCATTTTGGTTTTAGGGATGGTCAACCCATTTGTGTTGCAATGTGCATGGGAAGACTGCACTAATCACTAATCTTCGTTCCATCGACACCTTCTGAGGCAGGCGAACCCCAATTGAGAAAGGGGTAAACACCAGGAAATCATCCCCAACTGTTTCAAACATATTTAAAACAAACACACAATAGATCCGGCTTTGTCTGAAAACCACGTACCATAAGATTTGATGGTGCCCCTTTTGCCGCTTCCGAAACCACGGTACAGGGATTGGTTCATACAGATCATCATCACTGCACTAAAAGTTCTTGGGGATGCAGTGGGGATTAGCAACCCATACAACTAGGGTTTTTTTCACCACTACCTGGAACTGCCCAAGGACAGTCCCCTATCTTTTTGTTGGTTCCCCCATGAAACGTTGGGTTTGCGTAGTTTTTTCTGCGCATGTCGCACCAAGCAACGCCTAGGAGTGCAGAAAGCACTGGACGAAAGATTTGCCACCGCCATCTCCGTTCAGTGAAACTCCTGCACCAGGCCCGAGATCTGTAGTGGGATCGCTGGCAACATGAACACTGAACGATACATGGGGATCCTTCCCATCCAGAAATCTGTTTTGCTTTGCACCAAAACAAACCATAAGGCGTCATTATATGCTTCCTCCATAAACATCACCTAGCCTAAATTGTTTGGGGTGGTTTAAGGAGCATTGAAACAGCAAATCAAGATTCTGAAAACTAGGTCAATATAAAGATCCTTGCAAAAAAAAATCAAAATGGCAAGAAAACGCTTCAAAAATGGATGGTTGTGCGGCTGTGCGCCCATCTGAAACAAAAATGGGGAAACTGAACCAGCTGAACTCCTGTCGTCGCACCACGACATACGCGTTCCATCTTGTAACTGACCTTCTTCGTCCGGTTGATTCAGATTTTGATAGTAGAATGGTGGCATGGCGACATAGGTTGCCCGGGCTGCCCTGCTGGGCAGCTGGGAGCCAAAACACACAAGCAACTTTGGGATGTTCAACAGGGAACATCAAAGTACACAAAATGCAAAATCTGTCTGGTGTCTTTCCGTTTGTCTGCATGTGGGCAAGTCAAAGTTCTGTTTATCGTAATACCAGCATGGAATGCACGGTGCAATCAGGGCCAATGAATCGGGAAATAGAAGAAACCCATTGGACTTCCTTTCATAGTTGCAGCTTGGCCGAAGTACATCTTTTTGATGTTGTTCTCACAAAAAAATCAGTTTGCGGCTCTGCATACTGAAGAGAATGATCAGAACGGGCACATGCAGAGGCTTGTTTGGATTCCTGCATGCCAGCTCTCTGTTGTATTGTCTGCACGGAAACTAGCGACCAGAAGCAGGCCTGCTGAGGCACAAATTGCAACAAGCGAAGTCCAGACCCACATGTTGGTCGAATACTCACAGGACTGTTTGACTTAAACCTGGTCAACTGGCAAACAAAACGCCAACAGTTTTGGATTTCTTGGAGTCCGCATTTAAGTCGAAATCATCATCAAATCACCCAGGAGGAGTGAAACCCATGAAGTGAGAAAGTAACACTGAAGACCCAACTTTTTACTGCATTTACCCACCTACAAGTAACAAACTTGTGGTGTTGAGGCGTATTCACAGTTGCAATTCATGTGCCTCAGTTACTGTACTGGCCTTCACCTGCAGCGAGCAGCTGGTGACACATTCGCGAAACAGCGAGCAGCTGGCTGGCGACGAGCCATCACCCAGACAGGACACAAGGGCAAAGTCGGTGTGATTCTGAAACACTTTTGCTGAATTCTTGCAAGATCTCAAAGTAATTAAACCTCACGACGCAAGATGTGCTATCAAGAACGTTAATACTGCTCCCTACCCGAACCCAAGCCAAGACTTTCACTACGTAAACCCTTCTATCAAGATTGTTAATGTGGATCTCTGTCCCAACTCAAGCCAAGACTTTCAAAGTACACTCCACAACGCAGGACGTCCAGTCACGAAGGTTATTTCCGAGCCCCACCCCAACCCAAGCCAAGAGCTTCAATGTAAATTTCACGACGTGAGATGTGCTAGATACCAAGCCTCTGTGCAAATAAAATTGATCCTCTGACTAAGACTCCAATGATCACCTTTTGAACTGCTGTACAAAGCCCAGCCTCTTTCCCAGACTCCACCTTGCAGCCTAAAGACAATGTGACCAGTGCCACTGTGAATACTGAAAAAGGATGAAAAAGGATGGAAGAGGAATCACTGTTGCTGCAAAGACGTCCAAGCTTAAAAAAGCCTATCAATGCCGAGCCTCCATCCCAAAGTGGCTTGTTCACAGTGAGACGAAGAAGCTGCTCCGGACAATGTCTTGATCTGATCTTGATGGCTCTCCACAGCAACTATTCTGGGTTTCTGTTTGTCTGCTGCGCGCTACTGCAACTCACTCCGCTGTCCTTTTACAAATCAACTCCAGCAGAAACATGAGAAGTGACTGGGGTTGTTTTAGTTTCATTCAAAACTGCGTCAGACTGCCTTCGCCTAACTACACTAGTTGTGAGGTAGTCTTCCAAAATAATCCTGGTCTGTAGCACCATGCACTCAAAAGATCGAATCGCATGGATAGCATGCGCCTGTTTCGACTCCTGTATGTCAGCTCACGGGTCTAATGTCAGCACGCAAGCACGTGACCAGAAGATACCAGAAGCAGGCCTTCTGAGGCGCAAATTGGAACAAACCCGGCATGATAGTTGAATACTCAGAGGACCCCAAGGACTGTTCAAATGGCAACAAAAACCACTGGATCAATTGGAGTCCCTATTTGCCTCTTGAACTCATGGTAAGATCACCCAAGAATTGTGAAACTCATGATCATACCGAAGTAACACTGTTGCAAGGTCACTGAAGACCCAACTGGATATGGTATATTTTATGTGGGCACCAAGACGTAGCAAACTTTTGGTGTTGGGGTGTAACCGCTACCAATTGCCTCAGCCAGTGGCCTCTCCAGGCAGTGACAATAACCTGCAGCTTGGTTGATGGTGGCTCACTCACGAAGCAGCAATCAGCTGGCTTGTGACGAGCCATCACCTTCTTCGTACACAAAGGGCAAAGACTGGACATGTGAGAGTGACAACACTATCCATAAACTCAAAATCCGTAAGATGCTGAACAGTTTTGATAAACTATCACAGAGGTATCATCTTTTTTGCACGACAACAAGCATGTTGATAATGTGTGACAGCTTGGCCCCGTGTGAACAGCTGAAACTAGTGTCACTCACTCACTAAGAAGAAAAAACAGCTGGTTTGCGACCAGCCATCAGCGAAAATGCAGACTAGGGACCACTGCACAGAATTCCGCTCAGACACACACATACACACTTGTCCAGATAGAACTGCAAAGAGGATCAAAGGCTTTAGGCTGGGGAAGCAGCTTTCGATTATGTTCTGAACAGTCTTTCACGACACTTGTCACTGATCAATGATGCAGAGCATGTATGTGCGAGAACACAGCCCCTATGACTGGAGTCTCAGTCACGAAACAGCAAGCAGCTGGCTTGTGACGAGCTCTCTATGAAGCTGTACACCAAAGGCCAGGATCCAAATGCTTTCAACTAGGCATGCGATGGTCAAAATATTGTGATTATTGACGCCTTCATCATGCTATCGCACAACATAGGTTGGATCATGAGAAGAGGCCCTTTGAACGGCTGGAGTCTCAATCACAAAACAGCAAGCAGCTGGCGTGTGACGAGCCCAGATTTGAAGTCTGTACATGCCATCATCCAGTTTCCAGTGATCAGTATCAAGCTGACGACATCTGAATCACTGGAATCGCTCCCTGTACTCCATCACAAGTTCTTCCCCACCGATGTCCATCAAGACGTTTGTGCACACGGCATGTATCAAAGCATCAGGACTCAGGTCCGAAAACTGTCCACCTGTTGCAGTTGCAATACTCTGGAAAGTCTCTTTGGTGCCCTCGTGGTTTCCGACCTGGCAAAAAAATAGGATAAAAAGAATCTGCAGGGAACATGGTCACAAATTTGGGTGTTCATGCGCTCATGCTGTTGGTTCAATCATGTTGCATTGGCTTCGCAGCCTAAGGTGGCTTTGCATGACACTGAGCCACAGACCCGGAAGCAGTGCACAGGCACCCCAAGCTTTCGGAGTTCCTCTGCCTCTCTCATGTAGTCCGTGACCAACACTACCTCAGCAGACTGCCAGAAGGGTGTCCATGATCAGGCAAACAAAACGAGCGAGTCAGCACCCATGCAACTGAGGAACTCCTGGGTGGCCTGTAAGAACTTGGCCTTTCTTCTCAAAGTGGGGAGGTGCATCTCCAATGAGGATCACACGGGAGATGGTTTTCAGGCGATGTTCATTTCGTGCCAGTTGCAAAGCGTGTTCAACAGCTTCCTCGCAGTCGTCACCACCGTGACAATGGATTCCATTCACGAAATTCTGCAATTGGCTTGCATCTGCAGCCCATCCAGAAGACTCCAGGATTCTGCCACCTTCACTATAGTCACGGTATGCCACCCACAAAATTTCGAAATTGTTTCCACCAATTTCGTTGATGCGGCGTATCATGGCATTGATGGTGCCCTGCGCACTTCTCCAAAGACCAGACATGGATCCGGTAGCATCTGACAGGCATACCATCCGGGCATGTTGCCTTCTGCTTGTGCCTCACAAACACTTCTGTTTGGGTCTCGATAAACTTCCCCGAAGGCCCCCAAGCAAAGAATCCGGCAAATTAGATCAGGTTCTCAGATTTGAAAAACATTGGATCTAGGGACCATCCATCGCAATCAACCATATTGCAAGGTCTTGTGAGTTTTCCATTCATTGCTGCTGGCAACGCTGCGTGTCAACCAATTGCCGTAGTCATGGCAGGTGTTGGAATGCACAACGCATGTACGCTGCACCTATTGCTGCGGTTTTACAAAAGAGCTGCCGTGTTTGTTTGCTTTCTCTGGGGCCAGCTTGCTGGAGGCGGAAGAAACGAATCAAGAATTGACCCACAGAATTTCGGAACAAAACGAAAGACTGACCCTGTGATCACAAGTTGCGGCTATTAATGCATTCATGGGCAAGTAGCTGCTAGCACATGACGTATCAATGCAGATGTATGGTAGTGTATGTATACATCTACACACACACACAATTACATTACATTACATTCCATTGCATTGCATTGCATTGCATTGCATTGCATTACATGACATTACATTCATTCATGACATCACATCACATCATATCACATCACATCACATCACATTCATTGCATTGCATTGCATTGCATTGCATTACATTACATTACATTACGGTACATTACGGTACATTACGGTACATTACGGTACATTACGGTACATACATACATTCATTCATTCATTACATACATACATACCATACCATACCATACCATACCATACCATACCATTACATACCATACATACCATACATACCATACATACCATACATACCATACATTACATTACATTACATACATTACATTACATTACATAACATTACATAACATTACATAACATTACATAACATTACATATCATTACATAACATTACATGACATTACATAACATAACATCACATAACATATCATTACCTTACTTTCATACATACATGCATTGCATACATTACATTACATCACATTACATTACATTCAATTGCATTGCATTACATTGCACTACATACATTACATAGATTACATACATTACATAGATTACATACATTACATACATTACGTACATTACATACACTACATGAATTACATGCATTACATGCATTACATACATTGCATACATTACATACATAACATACATTACATACATAACATACATTACAATACATTACATTACATTACATTACATTACGTTACGTTACGTTACGTTACGTTACGTTACGTTACATACATTACATTACATTGCACTACACCACATTACATCACATCACATCACATCACATCACATCACATTACATCACATCACATCACGCTACATACATTACATCACATCACATCACATTACACTACATTACATGACATGAATTACATTACATTGCATTACATTACATTACATTACATTACATTACATTACATTCATTATACTACATTACATACATATATACAATGTTACATACCATTACATACCCACATACCTATACCATTACATACCATTCCATTCCGTTCCATTACATTACATTTGTGTCGGCGCCTTGTGGGCTTATCTTAGAAATTTTGAATCTTGAAAAAATGCAGCATGTAATGCCAAGAAAAGGGATCTTAAAAATGCAAACAAAAAGCAACTGCAGAAAGAAAATGCAAAAAAAAAAAGGAATCATAAATGCACAAAAAAAGCAAATGCAAAAACGCAATGCAAAACAAATAGAAGGCAAAAAATATATACTGTAAGCTCAAAAACACAAATTGGCGAAAATGCTTTTGGACACCCACTTGATTCACATTTAGGTGGCGTGCAGGATATGCAGTCTCGGTTGCCTGGTTTTCATGCATTCAGGTTCTTGAATTTGCCTCACATGCAATATGTGCAAGAATGAGTTTCAGTTCGGTTTGGGTTTCTGTCCCTGCATCAACACTTGAATGGGCACATAGATTTTCAGGAAAGGGTTGGTGTTTTTTGCACAGCCCCCCAGCCCAAGTCCCAAACGCTGCTTTTCGGGAAAGTGGGGGCCCATTTCCCAGGGGATGGCCCTGAGGGCCCGTTTGTTTTGCTTTTTCTTTGCATTTGTTTTGCTTTTTGTTTGCTTTTTTTTGCTTTTTCATTGCTTTTATTCTGCTTTTTTTGCTTTTTACCTCAGTTTTTTGCGATTTCTTTCAAAAAGTATCCAGTTTTGGAGGTCCCCAATTCGGATCGGAGACCCTCCCTTTCGGCTGGCCACCTGTACACTTGGCAGGCGTGAGCCTCAACATTGCGCGTTCTTCTTCGGCTTCACAGGTTCACCTCGGACCTCCCTTTTCAAATTTAATGCTTCCTTTGTCTTCTGCGCAGGTTTTGGCCGAAAAACAAAAAATAGTTGATCAACAAAAAAAGCTGCCCTTGCTGGATCTCAATATGTTTTCAATTTCGCAAGTGCTTCAGCCACTGAAACAAAACACAAACGCCTTGTCGAGGAAACCCAAACAAGCTGCTGGGTGAAGCCATCAAAATTTTGTTCTTTGGGTTTCTTCACGGGCTCTAAGAATTAAACGAAACTACCGTATTCATCCGTATTCATATGAAGAAAACTGCTTCTTTTAGGAAGAACTGCACTGTAAAATAGTACGACATATGTGTTTTCCTTTTCTTGAACAAACTACCATCTTGTTGAAAGAAAACCTTACTTTTCTTAAGGAGATGCTGTGAATTTTGGAAGAATACTGCCCTCACAGGAACATGTTGCTTTCTCAACTTTATACTTCAACATGTTGAAAACAATAGTGCGCACTTAGAACGAAGACAGTCTGTTAGACAGAGACACCTGCCTCAACAAATATGCATCGTTTAAATGAAAGCTGCCTCTTTTGATGTCTGAAAGCGGCAGATTTTGTCAATTGGAAATGTCTTTAAAAGAGAAAGGCACTTCTGTGAAGTAATGCTGTATACTATTTGAAAGGACTCACCCTTTTCTTCCAAACAAAAACTGCATCTGCCTGAAATGTTTCAGTTTTTTAAGGAGTTACTTCACATTTCGCAAACATACGATGTTCCTCAAAGGACATGTTGCTTCCGCAAAGTGAATATACACCTTTTTGAATAAAACCGCATACTTGAAATGAAGAGTATTTGGTTGAAAAGGAGGAAATGCTGCACTTTCAATGAACAACGCGTCTCTCAGAGAACATTGCGCTTCTATATATAATGGAATGCTTGCAGGGAATATCAACTTAAAAGGGGCTACTGCATCTTCTAAAAGTACCCTTCCCTAATTCAAGGGAGATACTGCGTATGTTGCAAAAATGTTTCTTCTTTTAAGAAATAGCGTGGCTCCTGCATAAGCAGAAAAACCAAGCTGTGTAAAAGGAATGCTTGATTTTTTGAAAACTGTTACTATTTTAGAAAAATACCTGTTTCTAGAAACAGTGCATGTTTAAACGAAAAGCCTCGCTTTAAGGAGTGCTGTTTTTCAAGGAATCCAGCATCCTTTACCTGAGCGTGACAAGTCAGATATTTTAAACTGAAACTGTGAAACTCCAAAAGAAGCTGCCCTTCTTTAACAACACTTTCTTTAATAACGATGCCAGATATTTGAAGGGAATAGTAATATCTACAATCTATATATACATACTTTCTTGAGACATTGGCGCATTTCTTCGCAAGAAAGCCGCTTTTCAGGACTTCATCCATATTTTGCAAGAATGTGGTTTGCTTAAGGGCATAACGTGCTTTCTCAAGTGAATGTATACTTGCTTCCCTTTAAAAGGGATACTCTACTTGAAATGAAACATATTCTATGACGGAAAGCTCAAGTTTTAAGCTCTCGAAGCAAGGCGGCACCGCACCAGAACGGGGGCAATACAATGGGCTACAAGAAGGACGCTTGACCAGCAAAAGGTTTGTGAATCCAGCAGCTTAAATGGGCGTGTCGGTCCTGCCTTATTTGGGCATCCGGTTGAAGACTTGCCTGTTTTCACTTTCTTCTGTAATTACGCAATATATTTAATATATATATATATATTTTATTTATTTTTATAATATATATATATATGTGAACAGCTTAATCCCTGTTCTGGATCAATTGTTTGGTCAGTTTGAGTTCCTGCTGAGCTGTTTCCAACGTTTCATGCGAACATTGCAGAGAGCAGCGATCTTTTATTGTCTGCGTTGGGGTCTTGAGCCAAACATTGCGTTTGGCCAAAGGTCCATTGAAATATATGGGAATTAGTTATACTGCACTCCCATCTACATCCCATTTGCACCCCCCATGTTCGGCATTATGTGGATTTGCCGAACACGAAGGATGGGAACTTATTAATTTTCGCTAATGTACAAGTGCCCGAATTAGCTACTGAAGTGGTTCATCCTCACCGGGCGCTCGCTGAGCGTTACCGGATCGGAATCCCCGCAACGTTTCTGGCTTCGCAGTTAGCTACCGGCGTTTGTACAAAAGAAAAGGTTGGAAACTTCGAATTGGGATACAATACATCGAATTGAGCTTGGTGAAAAGAAAAGAAACTAAGCTAATCCTGTACAAGGCCTCGCTCAGAGTCCTCTCACCAGTCAATCTTTGTGATGCTCATCACTGAAGACGGAGAGTACCACATAGTGCCCAGACATCACCAATACCGGGCGCTCGCTGAGCGTTACCGGTTTGGATCAGTCAGTGCGTTTCTTCTTGTATTGAGGTGCTGGTTGTGGTTTGTCTGTGGGAGAAGGCCGAGATGATTTTGCCGACGTTGGCATCTGCTTTGGTGCAGGTTTGGCTTTTGCGGGGCCGGCTGCAGCAGATGATGATGAGCTTGAGTAGCTTGGAGCACTTGTTGGCGCAACCTTTGGTGGAGGTGACCTAGGGCCTTGAGCCTTTGGACCGCCTCTTGATTTGGCCTCTGCTTCAGACGCACGTGCCTCAGCTCTGGCGACGTCATCAACAGCTCTCTTTGCGCCCTCGGTGCTCCCAATTGCCTTGTAGACATTCTGCACGACTTTTGGATCAACATTTGGTGCAATGTGGTCCA